ACACTCTCCTAAGAACCAGAAACAACAATAGAAATCAAGAACAAAAACATTTACCAAGAAAGACAAAATCAGATGTTGGAAACAAGAATTAAAATGATCCCCAACACAGATTTCTAGAGAAACAAACAAATATATATGTTTGTGTGTGTGTGTGTGAATAACATCTGTTTCCAAAAAATAAAACAGCAAACCTGTCAGAGTATGTTCTAAGAATTAAAATATAGCTGAAGCCTAAGACAAAAGACCTTAAAATAGCCTTTATGAATGATGAATGTAATAGTGGTTCTCAATGAGTTAATGAATAAATCCCCCCAAATCCCCAAAATAAGTCTATGAAAATATAAACAAACAATGAAAGAAACTGAATAAAACAGTTTAATACCTGAAAGTAGAAAAAAAAATCAATAAACGAAATACAAACTGAGGGAATTCTGGAAATGAAAATTAAGGAACTTGAACAAGAACCTCAGAAGCAAGCCTCAACAGCAGAATACAAGGGAATCAGAGGCAATGAAGTCACAATATAAGAAATAAACACCTTGGCAAAAGAAAATCTTAAATATAAAACAACAACAATGAAAAAAATTCTGGCACAAAACTTCCAGGAAACCTGGGACAATATTGGTAGACAAATTTAAGAATTATAGGAATAGAGAGGAAAGAGAAGAAACTAAGGTCAAAAACGCAGAAAGTATCTTCAACAAAATCATAGAAGGAAATTTCCTTAACTTAAAAAGGACGTACCTATTATGGTACAAAAAAAAAGTATACAATTCATCAAATAAAATGGATCAGAAAAGATATACCACACTGGACAGATAACTGAAACACTAATCATACAGAACAAAGAAAGAATACTAAAAGCTGCAAGGGAAAAGGACCACACAACAAATATATACAGAGCTATTATAATAATATCTGATTTCTTAGTGGAGACGCTAAAAGCAGAAGGACCTGGACAGATGTTCTGTAAACTTTGAGACCACAAATGACAGTCTTTACACAGATGCCAGATATTGTATCCAGAAAATCTTTCACTCACAATGCATAGAGGAAAAAGACATTCCACAGTATAACTAAATTAAAGCAATATGTGCAAACCTAGGAATAAGAAAAGCATTAGATGGAAAACTCCAACCAAAAGAGGTCAAACATACCCAAGGAAACACACAGAATAAATACTCCTAGACCAGAAGGTCAAAAGAAGAGAAACAGACCCCCAAAACACATGCAGCTACCATCACCACAACAACATAACAGAAACAACTCACACTGCTCGTTGATATTTTTCAACATCAATGGTTTCAATTTCCTAATTAAAAAAAAAAAATACTAGGCCAGGTGGTGGTGGTACACGCCTTTAATCCAAGAACTCTTGTGACAGAGGCAGGCAGATTTCTGTGAGTTTGAGGCTGCCTGATCTACAAGAGTTAGTTCCAGGACAAGCTCCAAAGCTACAACAAAACCCTGTCTTGAAAATCAGAAAACAAAAAACAAAAAAAAAAAATCATACTAATAAAACAGATGTAAAGGAGGGTCCATCCTTCTGCTTCATCCAAGAAACACACCTTAACATCAAGGATCTACATTACCTTGGCTTTAAAGGAAAGAAAAAAAACAAATGACCTAAGAAGAAAGGTGGTGTAGCTATTTTCATATCTGACAGAATAGATGAATCCAAAACCAATCAGTAGAAGTAAGGAAGCAAACTAATCTTCAGGTAGGAAAGAAACCCAGCAGCAGGTGGTCAAAAAAAAAAAAAAAAAAGAATTAAACTGCATCCTTAGAGGTTCATTGTCTCACAATGTTGTACCATGACCTTTTTTATATATTGATTTTATTTTTATGTTTCTATCTTTATTTCATTTTACATTTTTTATATTTTTTCTCTGCTTTTACTCTATAGGTCCTTTGCATTTATCTTATGGCTTCCAGTTTAATGTTTTATGGGATTCTTGAGTGTGATAAAAGGTAGATTTCCACACCTATATCTGTTACTTGTGCCTTTCCTTTGGTTATTTTCCCTCTGTTTATTTGTTTTTTTACCTATTCCAATGTGTTAGTTTTTGTTCTATCTTATTTTATTTTATTATCCCTTAGAAACCTGTTTGTTTTCTTCTGTAAGACAGACAGGGTGGGTCCTGATGGGAGTAAAGATGAGGAGGACCTGGAAGGATTAGAGAGGGTAGAAACCACAAAAGTGTATATTAATGAGAACAAATCTATTATAACAAAAGGAAAAAAGAAGGTGCACTAGAATACCAAATGCAGTATAAAGGAGAGAGAAATATGAAAAGCTGTCTGGTGTGCTGGAGGCAAATAAAGTGGTTGGAGAATTAGGATATATTAAATTACACACCTTGTATATAAAATGTTGTAGAGCTGCCATCCAGATTCCAGAATCAATAGGTGTCACCACTCTAGAGGTAGAAGGACCTGGAATAATGGAGACAAAAAGTGAAATGGATTAAAGTTAGAAAATATCCCATTTTATTCGTAGCATCAGACAATTTATAATTGGAGGATTAGGAAAGGTGGTCACATGAGTAAAGTTCTCATGAGTTCTAGCTATACAATCACAAGAACACACAAGTGGCAAGAGTATGTTTTTTTTTTCCCCAGAGAAGCATCTAAAGCATACTTTAAACATTTAAGTGAATAATTACCAACCACAACAATAATGAGGAACCAAAAAGTAAACTTGATTTTTTTTTCATGTGGGATTTCCCTCTGTATGCTGTGAATATGTTTTATTACCATTGGTCAATAAAGAAGCTCCCTTGACGTATGGCGAGGCATAATAGAGATAGGCAGAAAACCTAAACTGAAGGCAATGAGAAAGAAGGTAGAGTCAGGCCGATGCCGTGTAACTGTTGAAAGAGAAAGACACCAGAACCAGAAATACATTTCAAGCACAATTCCACAATTTGAAGAAACTGAGCTCAGCAGACTCTTGTGTTGTTTGCTTGTACTATTCTCACCGGCACTCAGAACGCTTTCCATAGCACTCCACTTCTAAACCATGGTCTTACAGAAGGTGGTTTTCATTTTAAATGAAAAATACAAAGAGAACTAGCAAAACAAACTCTTGCTTCTGGGTATGGCAGACTAGGTTATTTCTCCCAGCCCTCTTACTTAAAATGTAAAAACAACATCATTGACATTAGCAACAAAATATAAAAGTTAATGACCCAATCAATAAACAAATAAATAAATTCTGCCAAATTCAGCCAAATTGGAGATAACAGAAACAGGTAGGACAAGGAAAACTATAGAGAGATTTCCTTTTTTCATGATTTTATTTTTTCCCTTTTTTATTACTTAAAAAAAATACCAATCCAAATTCCCACTCTCTCCCCTCCTCCCAGTCTGCTCCCTCTCCCTCCACAGACCATCCCTCCACCCCTCCAACCCTAAGGGAGTGCCATGCCCTGTGGAAAGTCCAAGGCCCTCCCTACTACAACTAGGTTGAACAAAGTTAACATCCAAAGGGAATAGGATCCCATGAAGCCGGTATATCCAAGTAGAGACACATCCCAGTGTCACTATCAGTGGCCCCTCCGTCTGCCCCTAGCTGTCGACCCACTTCAGAGGGGCTTGGTTGTAACCATGCTCGTTCACTTCTAGTCCAGATGGAGTTGGTGAGCTACCATTAACTCAAGCAAACTGTCTCAGTGGATGACCCCTTCATGGTCTTGAATTCCTTGCTCATATTCTCTCCCTCCACTCTTCAACTGGATCTTGGGAGTTTAGTCCAGTGCTCTGATGTGGGTCATTGCCTCATTTCCCCATCTGCTGTTGGACGAAGGTTCTATGGTGATATTTAAGATAATCATCAGTCTGACTACAGGGTAAGGTCATTTCAGACACCCTCTCCTCTATTGCTTAGGGTCTCAGCTGAGTTCATCCCTGTGGGTTCTTGGGCATTTTCTAGCACCAGGTTTCTTGCTAACTCCACCATGGCTCTCTCAATCAAGATATCTTTTTCCTTGCTCTCATATCTGTCCTTCCTCTATCTCGACCATCCCATTCCCTCAAGTTCTCCTCCACCTCCCTTCTCCCACACCTCTACCCCCTGCCACCCTGCTCCCAAATTTTTGTCTGATTCCAATTTCCAGGTGTGTCTATATATGTTTTTCTTTGGGTTCACCTTATTACTTGGTTTCTCTAGGATCCTAAGCTATAGACTTTTCACCCTTTGTTTATGACTAGTATGCACTTATGAGTGAGTTCTAAGATGTAAAACGGGGATTCTGATTTTAATGTTTCTTCTAATTTCTCTCCAGACACTATTTCTAATCAGGAATAAATTTAAAATTCAAAATTAAATGCAATTACAAAAATTTAGTTCTCTGACGTCACTAGTTTCATTTTGGTGCTCGTAAATCACAGGAGATTAATGGCTGCCGTATTGAAAGCTAGAGAACTACTCTGGCACAGGACAAGGGAAAGTGCCTATAGAAGGAAATGGTTTAAAGATTCTACATTAGTGAAGGCCTTGATAATCTCAGGGAATGAGGGGAAGAAATTGTTAAACTAATGCTACTTGGGAGTAAAGAGCTCAAGTTAATGAAATCTACTTTTCTTCTGTCTTTTCCCTTAGTAGGAAGCAACAAAGAATAAGGATTAGCTAGAAATAACATATTATTATGGAAAATGAGCTGGCTTTTTGTCCTTTAATCCCAACACTTTGGAGGCTGAGGCAGGCAGATCTCTGTGAGTTCAAGGCCAGCCTGATCTACATAGAGATATTGAGGACAGGCAGAACTACGTAGAGAGACCCTACCTCAAGACAAACAAACAAACAAACAACAAATAACGATGTTTTGGTGTTCCTATGGACAAAATAGAGCAGGCTTAACTAAGACAAATATTATGTTATTAACACATTGTATATTTGGAATTATGCACTTGCACTAGCAGAGTAAGGTGACTTTATAAGAAGGAGAAGTCAGGAATTCATGACCAAATAAAATAATAATACAACATGACTAAGTATGTCAGGATATATGACCCATTGCAGTGAGACTTTATTTAATAGAAGACTATGTATCTACTTGAACCTGTCAAATAGAAATTAAATCTCCCTGTGATATTAAAGTACCAATGAGTATAGACAAAGTTACAAGAAACTATCATTGAATTAATGATGGGGTTACAAAGAGGTTCCTCCTTTTCTGGTGATAATTCAGATTGCTATTTCAGGGCATGTTGGCCAATTTACAGACTTGATAAGAGATGACAGTTGATTTAATGAAAAAGAATGTTCAAGGCAGAAAACTACTGCAATACAGCCTGTTGTCAACATTATGAAGTTACACTAAAAACTTCAATACAAAGTTTTCAAGTTCCCTCTAGTTCATTTGCCTAGTTAAAGACATAATTTAGTTAATTAGGACCATCTGTACCAATGGAGACGTAGATCTCACCCTTTGTCTAGGGCTGTTCTGTTCTGCCAAAGAAAATATTGGGGAAATCTTTTAGAGGGTTGAAGGGGAGGAGAGAGGCAGGGAAGGGAACAGAGAAAAATATAGAGCTCAGTAAAAATCAACAAAAATTCTTTCTGAATTCATATAAACCACAACTTTCTTAATCTTCAATAAGAACAAAATAGAGACAGAGATATTTCCCTACAAACATTGCCACTTCTTCATACTGTAGACTTATAATATGCATTGCTAAAGTTTTGTTTAGCCATTAGTGGAAGGGGAACAAGTTGTTCTTGTTGGTAATACCAACTTGATACATCTTCTAAGTAAGAGTCCTTTTCTAAATCTCATGCATCACTTCATGACACCTCAGTGTCATCTTCCTTAGGACAGCCTCCTCATTCTACTTAACTCATTGCAACTTCTTTTCTGGAAAAGAAAAGAAAAGAAAAGAAAAGAAAAGAAAAGAAAAGAAAAGAAAAGAAAACTAAGAAAAGCACCCCAAAACAATACCACCAACCATCTTTTTTGAGAATTCCCTTCTTTTTACACCAGATAGATGCGACTACACTTTCATTTCTTATTTACTTTAATTGTTCACTATTGTTTGGATATACTGGAATAGTATTGTCTAAAAGAGCAAGTTTTCTAGGATGCGCAATCTATGTTAATTAACTAGAGAGAAAAGATATGCATGATGATTTATTTTTCTGTATTGTTTGGCCTTTCTAAATTATATGCGTCTCCAAATCTGAGTCTGGGTCTTACAGGACAGAAAAGTCAGTGATGTCATTGTTACAGTCTGTCCTGAGTCAAGGGATATTAGATCTTCATTCTTCTCTGGAACTTTAATTCTTCTCTTACATATTTTATGTTTAATATCTATGGCTTTATTTGTTCTCACTATTGACCAGGTAAGCTGAAATCCCTGTGAAGAAACTATAGTTCTACATGTTGTCCAAGAGTTTCTGATGAACAATCACTATGTGACACATAAAAAAGGGTTCAGATGTGAATCCACATCTGTACATCAAGATAAAAAACAGGTGGGGCAAATAAATAGAAAGCTAAAGATAACATGATAAAGTGAGTGATGAGCTCTTTATTCACTTGATTTATAACTACCAAATATATACAAATAGAGGCCACATCGCATCGTCAGTGTGTATGTATGTATGAGTGTATATGTATATGTGTGTGTGTGTACCTGCAAGTGTGCAGGTGTGGTGCATGCATATATGCATATATATATTGCATATAATATAATCATATACTATATAATAGACATAATATATAGTCTGTATATATTATCTACTTGTATGTATATTGCATGTGTATACACATACACACATATATGTGAATACATATGTGGTACGTGCATATATGTATGTTTATATACATGTTGAGCATGCATACATGTGCCGCATATGTAATTATGCATGTTAAACACATATATACATGTGAGTAGATGACATATTTACATATAACATAGACATGAGTATATATACACACATATTTACAAATGTGGTGCATGTGTATACATATACATATATACATGTGAGTGTATGCTATATATACTACATATAGGTTATATATGCTATATATACTATATAGGTTATATACTCACAAGTATATGGACATTCACACACACACACATATATATACACACACCTGTACATGTGCAAATATGGTACATGTATGTTAGTAAATATGAATACACACAAAAGTTATCTATTTCCTATTTTGTCTATGTACTTTTTACTTATCTTCAATTTTAAAATAATTTTTAAATTAGTAAAGCATTGCATCTCAAAATTTTAGAGAATATCTCATATTTATATTTTAGTTATTTGACATTCAGTTTCTATTATTGCATAATTACAGAAAATAACATTAAAGAAAATTTTAAGGAAGCACCTGAGGAGAAAGATGTAGTTTTTCTTCTAAGCATGACATTTTAATTGATAGTTCTACTCTTAGATGCAGGGTATCCCAGAAAATTATACTTAAAAGTATAAAGTTATTTCTTCACTACCATAGATATTAACACATCCATCATTTATATATCCTTGTGGAAATATTATTCCTCTCATAAATAATATTTAACACCAGATACACCATAATGCTATTCAGTGTGCAAATGAAGCTTGCTAAGGAAAACTACAGCCTAATTAATTTCTAAGCCCAATCAAGAAATTAAGTTAGTTGAGAGCTGACAGTTTTAGAATATGAAAGACCTATATTTACATATTTCACTAATTAAACTTGTAATTATTCAATACTTTTCCTTCTTTAAGCACTTAATTTTACTGTTTAAGTCAATTTCCTCTGGAGTGGAGCAGTACATGATAACCAGCCATATTCCTCTAACAAAAACCATGGGGTTGTGAACTTTACTGGTAGGTTCTCTCAATCTGTTTTCATGTTAAAATAGGTTAATTTTATAGCTGACATAGAAAATGCTCCAATGAGTATGCATTTATATGTGCCCCTTAACACACTATTTGAAATTGGGTGTGGCATATTAACATGAAGCCATTAAAAAACCAGAGATTACAAAGGAGAATTTATGCAGCTTCATGTTACATTATTAAAAATAGTATAACCTTACCAATCACAGCGATATTTATGACATTGCTATTTGTCATAAAACAGTTATGTTAATTCATGTATACATAAGAATAAAACTATGTTTCATTGACTATAGTAGTTTGTAAGAAATCTGACAATTACAATTTTTCATAATTTTACATCTTTAACCTACAGGACAAAGTTGCTTAGAGATGTCAGCTATGAAATAATGCTAATTATTGGTAGGGGAATTGAGGTGTTTTTATTATTTATTAACACAATTACAAAAATATTTTAGTTTTATAGCTATTATTTTCATAGGGGATATTTATGTGTTTATAAATTATTTAATGACTGCATATCTATATTGTAGTTAATATGACTCTTTTACACTTCTACTCACAATTTGACCTGTATAATACTTGTATTTGTATGTCCTATTTCCCTTTCAAAGTTGGTTTAATAAGAACAGTGACCACAGTAGCTATTGAGACCTATGTTCTATCAACAGAGCTGGTAAATCTCACACACAGAGGCAATTGTCATGAGCAACATTACTAAGTTCTGTTGTCAAAAGAAAACAGAAGAAAGAAGTTTTTATTACTTACTGAATTTCTTTCATAGTGTTAGGCCCATTTGTGGGACAGTTGTAAGTGTATTTTAAATGGTCTTTTTGCCACAGACTTCATGACTTGCTTAATTTTTTTTCCATTAATTTGCTCAATTCTCAATTTCTTATTTGGGCCTCAAAAGAAACAGAACAATACAAGACGCTACAAAACACAAAAGGGTTTACATTGAATGTTGGATTATATTAACCAAAAATTTCTCTAATTACAATTTTTTTTTTGTTTTCAGGGATGTTAGTTTTTATGTCATTTAATTTATTTAATTGAGAAACAAAAGAAAAAAATAGAAGTACACAGTTGTTTAAGATGGTGCCTAAAACCTCTTACATTTTTAAAGGCTATTTATATATATTGCATTTTAAAGTGGAACTCTGCTTAAAGTTTTTAATTCAAGATAAAAAAAACCTTTTCTTATTAATGAGTATATTTACAGTCCTTAACTTATTATAAAAGAAGAGTAAAAAGGTTCAGTCTTATTGGGAGGTGAACACAGAAAAATTTGTTATATATTCCCAATACAGATAGCTATATCTTATTCTTTGGAATTTCCTAAATTGCTGTTTATTATAAATTAAAAAAGATCAAATTTTGTCCTACAACAAATAATAGAGAAATATTATCAAATTATACAAAGTAAGATTTGTCATAGATTAATTCATGTCTTTATATAGTATTGGTTTTGAATATTTGCAAAGCCCCATGCTTATATGATATTCATGTACAATTATAGACCTAAACCTGGTGGTGAAGAGTAAATCTCATTTACATGCAGAGTTTAAGACATCCTTTATTGGAAAAATTCTTTCTCCGTATAAAGAAAATACATCCTTCCTTGTTTCTCTAGCTCTAAATTTAGTTGTTTTCACATTTCTCCTCTACCTGCCTCCATCAACTTCCCCCTTCTCCTTAAAATTCTACCAACATTAGAGTTTAGTTGAATATATATATATATATATATATATATATATACACATATATATTTATTTATACACACACACATTTCATGTGAACTATCCTAAAACGATGTATGGATCTATGTAAACCAGTAGAATTTTTAAATGTTTTATTACATTATAAAAAATACCAATCAAAATTTCCACTTCCTCCCCTTCTCCCACTTCCCTACCGCTCTCCCCCTCCCCACACCCCTCCCATTTCAGTCACAAGAGAGGGCAAGGTATCCTGCCCTGTGGGAAGTTCAAGGCCCTTTTCCCTACATTCAGGCTTAGGAAGGTATGGATCCAAATAGAATAGGATCCCCAAAAGCCAGTAGAGACAAATCCCAGTGCCATTATCTTTAGCTTCTCAGTCTGCCCCAATTGTCAGTCACATTCAGAGGGTCCAGTTTGATCCCATGCTCACTCTTTCAGTCCCAGTCCAGCTGGATTTGGTGAACTCCCATTAGAACAGGCACACTGTCTCAGTGGGTGGCCAACCTCTCGTGGTCCTGACTTCCTTGCTCATATTCTCCCTTCTTTTGCTCTTCAACTGGACCTTGGGAGCTCAGTCCAGTGCTCCAATGTGGGTCTTTGTTTCTATTTCCATGCGTTGCTGGACGAAGGTTCTATGGTGATATTTAAGATAGTCATCAGTCTGACTATGGGACAAGGCCAGTTCAGGCACCCTCTCCTCCACTGCCCAGATTGCTAGCTGAGGTCATCCCCAAGGAGTCCTGGGAACCCCTCTAGAGCCAAGCCTCTTGCCAAACCCAAAATGGCTCCCTTAATTAACATATCTTCTTCCCTGCTCCCATATCTGTCCTTCCTCCATCTCAACCATCCCATTTCCCCAAGCTCTCCCCAACCCTCCTCTTCTCCCCTCTCTCCCCCTTCCCTTTCCCCCAGCCCACGTACATAATGTACAGAAAAAGAAAAATATAGTTTAAAAAGTTTAACTTCATTGACAAGAAAAATTTTGTTTAACTAATATATACCAACACAAAAAGGTACTTTATTATAGATAACATAGAGGTTTATGGCAGAATTAGGGAAGTAATCAACAATTCTGTGTTTTTATCAAAAGAAGGAACATAAGACTAAGAATGAATATTATAAAAGCACAGACAACTATGCTAAACTAATCAAGATACAAACTCAAAAAAATGCAGAGTATGAACTCATAAATTTTATGTCATGAGTGCAATAGGTGTCAAGACATACATATTATGTGGTGTGCTTGTGTGGATGTGTGTTCATTTTATGTGTTTGGGTACGTGTGTGTGTGTGTGTGTGTGTGTGTGTGTGTGTACACATGTCCATGTAGAGATGGGAAATTGGTTCTAGCTGGTTTTCTCCATCACTATTTAGGCAAGGGTATGGTTTCACAATTAAAAGATTTTTCCTAGTCTAGCTAATCAGCTTTCCCAGCTGATTCCTATGTCTACCGCTGGGGTGCTGGGGTAGTACTCAGAAGCAACACCTAGTTTGCTTTTACATGAGTCTAGAATTGAGACATGCTTGTGGGACAATCTCTTTATCCTTTGAACCAACTCCTCTGTCCTTAAGTATATTTTCAGTTTACTTGTCTGTGAATATTGGCATTGCTCAAACATCTCTCCTGTTTCTCTGATTATCCTAATTAGTATTAGCATCCCAGTGTCTTCCAAATGTCACAGAGTGAATGCAAGTTGATAAAAGTTAGTTTCACAGCTAATTCAGATCCTACTTCTCCTGCACAGCCTCAAAGCAAGTTTAAAAAAAAAAAGCAACAACAAAATAACCTCACATTCAAAATGAAATGTAAAGTGAAGAGAAAGGAAGAGACAGGTGCACAGAGTTGAATAGAGTTTGTCCGGCTCAGTCAGAATGTGTTTACTGAACTGTCACTGCATTGACAGTAGCAGAACCAGGTCCAGAAGATTTCCCTTCAATCAGCAGTCAGAAAAAAAGCCTTTGGATAGTGCACATCAAATCTTAAAGAAATAGTGGCCATCTGGGGATATGGTAGTGTTCAAATTTGCTTCATATGAGATTTCTAAGTTCTGTTTAAAATATTAATTCGAAGGGGGAAACGTGAAATGACACTAAAGAAATAATAAATATCCATATGAAATTGACAAAAATATTGTCAAGAAAGATACTAATTTACATTGCAGCTTTTAGCTGAAACAGAAGTGGGTTTTCTGGGGCTGGAGAGGTGACTCATGGTTAAGAACACTGGCTCCTCTTGCAGAGGACCTGGGTTCCCTTTTCAAAGTCCATGTCTGGGTGCTTTCAACCATTTGTAAAATTAGCATCAGTGGGTCTCATACCCACTTCTGGCCTCCAAGAATACACACACAAGTGGCATACACACACACACACACACACACACACACAGAGAGAGAGAGAGAAAGAGAGAGAGAGAAGGAGAGAGAGAGAAGGAGAGAGAGAGAGAGAGAGAGAGAGAGAGAGAGAGAAAAGAAACATACAAATGCATAAAACTAAACCTTAATACTTTCTGAATAGTTTTTTTCTAAATGAATATTTTCTAAATAAAATTTTAGTCTCCTTAAATCGAACATAAGTTTATAGAGATCGCCTTGGCCCTTTTATTTATGTAAGTACAGATGAATCTATATAGCAACACAGGAAATTAAAAAGAAAAATATTACCAATGTACTTATGGAAAGTTACAGGGATGTCCATGTTTTTAGCTTTTAAAAAACTTGGTCTAAAAAAGGAAATATTATCTTAGAACACAGATGCAAGAGAGAGTGGAAATTTCAGAGGACAGCTTTGTGATATTCTTCAGGACTTTGTGCAAGGTTTGTACAGGACACCTTCAAAACAGTGATCCATCAGAAGGGATCCTGGGCAGCAGACTGCAGAGCTAAGTTTTCATGTTTCTTATGCCACTGTTCATACAAGCAAGCTAATAAAATCCGCCAAGTCCACCAAGAGATAAATAAAGAAGAAATTGCTCCATATGTGCAGAATGGGGCTTCCTTTAGCCATAGTTAAAAGTGAAATCATGGCAGTCACAAGAAATTGAAGGAACATGGAGAATATTATGCTTTCCGTCATGTGAGGGAGTAGATTTTAGACACTAACATATTCACAAATGATAGCGACATGGAAACAGAAATGAAACTACTTGACCAAGAAAAATGAATAAAAGAAGGGTGAAAGAGATGAGAGGATAATGTGGGTAAATATGAGCAAAGTGATGGCTATCTAGGATTGTCAATTTCAGGGAAGAAGCGGCTGAAAAGAGAGTCCCGGGGTGAGATTGCATATATCATTTGACCTGCTGGAATGTTTGCGTGAGATTGACTTGACTGCCGTAAGTGATAAGAGAAGACCTTGCCTGAGAGAAGGTGGGTGTATGCCCTAGACTGTAGACGAGCACAGTAGCTTACATACGCATGCATCTTGTTCTCTCGGTTCCTGGCTGTGGATGTGAGGTGACACTTGAAGTCCTTGTCACCATGGTTTCCCAGAACATAGCCTGAAATTGAGAGTGCAAAAAACCCTTTCTCACCCAAGTTGATTTTTGTCAAAACATTTTATCAGCGCAGTGAAAATGAAATAAACGAAATGAAAATGTCACAATGAAATTTGTGTTTTTCATAAGGTATATTGATTGTGATATATAGAAAATCACAAGCAGAAGACAATTAGGCAGAGAAAGAAATATTGTTACAAAAAGAAACTGTTTCAAATATGGATATGCCACTTAATAAAAAATCAAATAATAAATGTACCACAACAAATAAATTTTTTCTCAATATATTGGTGATGTGAACTGTAGACAATCAATTCCATCATTTACTTGACAACAGTGCAAACCAAGCAGAAAAATAAACAGCCTGAACACACTGATTTTTGACCATACCTTCACCATGTGTGGAAACTGATTGCATTGGTGTGTTTAAAGAGGTTCTGATTAGTTAGAAGTTGCCCACTACTCAATACTGACATAGAGACAACGCTTGGAAGCCTAAAGAAAAGAAAAAGAAAAACCCACATGGAACAGAGTTCTCAAAGGGAGCACACTGTTATTAACACAGTTCAAAACTAAATTTAAGACAATAACGAATAGATAATATTATCCTGTAGTTACTTGGAAGAAGGTTAGAATCCAGAATCTTCATCTAAAGTACTTAGTTGCAAAACTAAAATATTAATGACGACAAAAATAGCACATAACCACCTAATAGTATTATTAAAACTAACAGAGCCATGGGGTCTTAGAGTATTTCACAAAGAGAATAAAAATCCACAGAGTAAGAGATCCAGAATTTTAATAGAAATAGAAGCCTAAAAAAATAAATAAATAAATGGGATTAAGAGCAAATCCAACTCCTGATTGAAAAAAAAATCTGTCAAAATATTTTAAAGAAATACTAAACACTCAGAACATAAATAGGATATATTTTTAAAAATTTATTTACTGACACGTTTTAGTGAAACCAGAGACTGCCAAGAAACTTCGAAAACCACAAGAGGGAAAGCTAACGGAACTTCACCAAGATCAAATATTAGCTTCTCTCTAGAAAGAGTAAAGAGACTGCAGAATGTACTGGAATGGAATGTCCACAGAGAAAAACAGTCAGTAACAAAGTCTGTATCAAGAAAATTATTATCTAAAATGGAGATAAGATAATGACTTTTTTAGATAGATGACGCTTAAGACAATTTGCTTATATCAAATGTGTCTAAAAATGATATTGATGGGAGAACACTAAGATAAAAAGATCCACACTAGATGGTGAGGGAAATTGAAAAGACAAATGAATGACACAGCACACAGGTGATCTCACGATAAATTGAAAAAGACGGCGCAAATGTGGAATTTTTTTATCTTTTTTTTCTATTCACTATCAGATAATATTTATAAGTGACAATAAAGCATATTTAGTTTAGAGTAGGTGTTTTATAAAAGTTTAATTATGCATAAAATAATATAATGAAGAAAATAGATGATAATGAAAAAGTTTCCTGGCCAACAGACTTATCTTAAAGGAACATTTAAGTGACACAGATACATGTATAATATTTTACTTAATTAACAAAGGCTGAAAATGTTGCATGGAAAACATATGCTAATGAAATATCACGGAAGTGAGAAGGGACTAAATGGTTCTAAAAGGGTAGTATTTGATAGATGCAAACCAACGGCAAAAAGACACAAACCAAGCTACCTTAGTCATTGTAAAGATAGTGGTTTAAGAATTTCACCAACTGACAGATTATTATATATAAAATAACACAAAAATCAAAAATGCCCAAATTACAACATGTCCATTCTTTAGCGAGAATAAAGTATTTCTCCACTAAAGCCAAATTCTTAAGAGAGTAATTTTCATTAGTATCAAATATTTACATTGTATTAAATAAGAAGTCAAGGACAATGGCACTGAGTTTTGATCCTACTCCATGTACTGGCTTTGCGGGAACTTAGTCTGCTTGGATCCTCGCCTTCCTTGACCTGGATGGAGGGGGAAGGACCTTGGACTTCCCACAGGGCAGGGAAGCCTTGGGAGGGGGGAAGGAAATGGGAGAAGGTGAAGATTTGTAATAATAATACTAATAATTTTGTCAAATAAAAATGAAGAATCTTGTTCACATTTGACATGAAGACTGCAGAAGTCTTATTCATAATGAAACATTAGCAATTATTGCATCCAATAAAGAGAGATTGTTTACATATAACTCTAATAGATTCTCAAAATTTATAATCTTAATTTGACCAAATTTTGATCAGTTGCTACTGCTATTAATTCAAGAGGAAATATTTTGTTATCTGTCCCTGGTGAGGAAGATGGAATGTTACCCTGTCTTCTTTCCCATGTTCCCTACTCAGTGACTTCCCAGCAGATGTATACTATTGATAGTTTTTCAGACAGACAAAGAGAAAATAAATCATCTTTATCATGGTTTCTGTACTTTGTATCTAGTGTCTTTAAATGTATTTTGTACTTTCTTAATAAAGCAAAGAGCACCACCCCCTTGCATTTATAGTCAGTAAGTCATTTCAGGAAGGTATTATGCTATGTAACCTGATGAAAATTAAATCCTATTCCCATGATAACCAAGAAGAAAAAAGCACATTTTTGGCCTCTAAAACTTCCCAGTGCCCAAGAGCACAGACTAAAATGTTAGCATACAACTTCCTTTCCTTCTGAAGACTCCCTTTATCAGTAACCACTAATTTTGAAAATATTATTTCCCTCTGGAAATTCATCTTCCTTGTGCATCATTGTTGTGATGATGTATGTCTAAAACTTTCAGGATATTGCTTTATTCCAGGAAATTCTCAAGAGAAGAGGTATCATTTCATCAAATAAATTTTGTAATTTTGAAAACAGATACATTTTGCCAATCTATTGAGTGTTTCTGCGTATGATTGCTTTGCACCTGTGTGAAATGATCATTAAGGCAGCATGCATTCTGAGAGAATTACAGAGTATGCTTCCCTTCTAATTATGTTACCTTCATTTATTTATTTACAAAACTCGCTTAGAACATTGTCCTTGTAACAAGGAGCACAGGTCATGAATTTCTGTATCTTCCCAGTGACATGTAAGCCAACAGTTAAAAGGAGAGTTTGCTATCTCATTTATCAGGAATATTCTTATTCTCTATGAGACAGCTGAAAAATGTAAAGCCACGTTAGTATACCAATTATCACAAATAAAACAGCACACATTAGCACATCACGTGTGATCTTAAAAATTCCACAAAAATTTAACACATGTATATACACATGAAAATTGTATGAATGGAATTACAAGAATGATACTTTGTGACATTTACAATATATGGTTTAATCTTCTTTACATTAAGCAACAATCTCCTACAGTTTAAAAAGAAAAAAATAAAGGATGAAAGTAAACTACTATTAATTTTTGTAATTATGTATTTTTATGTCTCAGTCATCCTGAGAGTTCAACAGAATTTTTGTGATGACACTTACTAAAAGTAACAAATTAGTCTAAGAGTAACAAAAAGTTAGTATCTTAACTGTTGGGATGTACAGTAACCCTAGAACAGACAGGGTATTTTGTAGTCCATATGCATCAAGATATCAACCTCGTTCATTGATCCTTAGATGTAATTTTTCATCAACACTGTTCCACATGGATTGATAAGCATCTATCTCAATATTTCAGCTAATAAAAACAGATTGATTTGAAAAAGAATGGTGGCTCAGACATGGAAGGTTTACTTACTATTATTCATTTATTTATTTGTTGTACTTTTGAGAGTCTCTCATCATTCAGTGTCTTCTTTACATTGGGAAAATTTTCTTCGAAGTCGTATATGGCAGACTTTAAATGCAGGAGGGTACAGGACTCTGGGGAATGTAGATTACAGACTACTAGGTTGAAGAGACCAGATGTCACACCACAGCACCTGTATTAAGGCCTCTAGTTGTGTCACTCTTGAGAATTTGTTGCTGTTCATGCTTCTCAATAGTTTTCAGTGTGTGTGTTTGTGTGTGTGTGTGTGTGTGTGTGTGTGTGTGTGTTACTCAGAATCACCTTCTACTCTGCATTTTCTTTTTTCTGGATTGTTTGACCCCTCCTACACATTTAGTGTGTAGAATGTATGGAATCTTTGGTTTTACATTTATATAGCAGTATTTATCTGTCATCTCTGTAAGTCTCAGTTTGTTCTGTATTTTAAGAGATTACATCTCCAAGATAATTCCTCATGGATTACATATAAGGGCCACTGGCAATATCTATGTCATTTTCTGGCACACAACTGTCTTAAACTGTGTGAGACACTAGCAATATACAAGAGTAGAAAAAAAAAATCAAGGTTTCAATTCCAGTGATTTTTTTTAATAGTAGAAATACCATATGAAGAATCATGTTCTTCCTCAGAAAAACTGCTCTTGAAGGTCACTGGATCTATAGTGCCAAACTTACCCTCTGATGATAAAAGCATTCTGTCAGTATTTTTCTTATGAACTTAAATAAAGTGTTTTTCAAAAGACTATTTTATTAAATACCTGATGCTATTATAATTCTATTATCTTTGATGAACCTTTGAAACATTTGATGCCCACTTATAAAATAAGCTGAAAAAATGAAAGAGCTGATTGTGTAGAATATGACTCTCTTTTGAATACAGAGGAAACAAAAGTGGAATATTTATATTAAGGAATAAACAACAAAATATTTTCTATTTCCATGAAATGTGAAGCTGTTGGAATATCATATACTAGAAAACCCCCACTATTTGTCTCATATTTTCATCAGAAAAGGATATTTCACTTGAATGAAAGGAGTTGAAACAAATATGAGATGGGGTGAGGAAGAGTCGGGGTCCAGTCTCAACGGGTTCATACATTCCAGAGTAGGGACATGTGTATTGGATAAATCATGTAGGAAAAACAGAGATACAAAATAAATACAGAGACATAGGGGAAGAACAGGAGGGTGATCCATTGAATATTGAATACTGAATAAACCCACATCTATTTTCCATATGATTATATACCCCAATCCAAAAGGGGGGAACAAAGCAAAAGACAACTTTAACACAACACAAAGGACAACCAGGACAATACTTGCTTCAGTTCAAGTCATCAAGCCTCTATTTCCTGCGTTAAGCATTCCGATGTTTTGGGTAGGATATGCAGTGAATAAAACTTAGATCAAGTATTTTGGAGACAGCCACTCCCTGAGTCAAACCTCCTAGTTTTAAATGAAGGAGCAGGAATAGGAATGAAATCTCTAAACTTTGGTCAAGGTACAAAAGATCCACCTCTTTGGGCCATCTTAATCAAAATACCAAGTAACCACACCAAAGGTCAAGATATCTTTCTTGTAGCCCCACCTTAAGTCAGATCTGTTGTCAATAACTTTGAAGAGCAAGAGTAGGCTCAAACTCTCTGACATTTAGTAAAGGTGGAGCAGACCCACATCTGTGGGCCCCCAAAGATAAGTTGAAAATTAAGGGATGTTCTTGTGTTTGTGTATAAACCTCTCTGCTGATGGTAACCAGCATATTAGTAGGAACTGGTAAATAGACTACATTGTATTCATTTTCTGTTCCATTTTTGAAGCTAAATGCTAAGTCATACACTATCCCAATAGAAAACATACTCACTTGTAAAAAATCCTCCCACTCTCTTTGTTGTTAGCCACAAATCCCACTGATATTTAAACGAGGCTTGCAAAGTTTGTTACCAGAATATCCAGTTGGTGGTGTGTTGGACAGAATGGATTGTTGGTTGTATACTTCTCCTAAATGCTCATCCAGTAGGGGAACATTAGATGAAGTCTTCTATGGAAGAAGTTTACAATGAAAAACATAGGTGAACACTGAATGGTTATTGGAGCATGTATTTAATTACTTAATTTGACTGAGGAGTGTGGCTGTATCAGCCTGCCACTGCAGAAGATTTTTTTATCATATAGAACAATAGAACTATAAATATGGTCTACAAACTAATGTTAATCACTGAGGTACTTATCCTTGGCTTAGCTTGGAATAGGATCAGTAAATAAATATTTGGAAACATGGTAATTATTACTCAAGCCTCTGTCTCTTTAAAATGTGTTAACTGGCTTGACGGATTAAAAAAGGATGCTCATAAATGCATTGCTGAAGATGCTGTACCTAAAACATCCCCGTTCCTTGGCAAATCCACAGTAAGATCAGTTTCAACTTCTTTTCTCTGCTGTGGACACTGGAGCTGATCCAAGGCTTGTGTACGTTCCCGTTTTACTGCAGAGGGATCAAGAATGTCTGATGTGCAGCCAACACAAATTACTGCAGTGAACTTTAGCTAGCTCATTTATTTCTTTGAATTTCATTTTTCTGGGAATATAGTTTATGAAGCAAATAAGACTATCTCTCTAATGTGGAAAAGTTTCTGAGAACCAAAATGAGGATCTTTTCATGCACAAAAGACAGACAAAGTGTTGATACATAAGGTGGCCAAATGTAGTGAAAGTTCCGTGAATCATAGAGGCTTAAATGTTCTGACTCAAAATGTCTTTTTTATTTTTTTTTGATTTTTATTGACCTCTACAATCTCTGCTCCCCTTTCTCTATTTTTAATCTTAAGTTTTTTTTTAAAAAAAAAAAGCCTAGCATAATTTTTTAAAAATATTGTGACTTAATTCTAGGACCTCAGATAGTCTATAAAGTATTTTAAAGTTTTATTTTTTCTAAACTAACTATAGACAGCCTTACATCAGAAAGTTAGTATGCTTTACTGCAATAAATCATTCAGTGGTCAATATACGTGAATTTTGCCCATTGCTTCTACCCATAGTATGAAATTTTCTTTGGGAAAAACATAATATTTCACTAAGCATTGTGAATTTAGGGTGGAATTCTTGGGGGAAATGAGTGTATTAAAATGTTGCTGTAGAATAATGCTACCAAAAAAGATACAAACCAAAGAAAATAATGTTAAGATCCAAAGCCAACCATGGCATAAAACAAATTATGAAAGCTTCAAGGTCTGGTTAAGAAAATTCAATGACCAATAAGAGATCTGTGTCTACAGAGTGTGTATGTACTATCTGTGGCATTCACAGACTTAGACTAAAATTTTGTATTGTTTATTAATTGCATCGTATTTGTGTACTTCAAATGTGTTAGCTATTCATTAGAGATAGTAATAACCTTATTTTTAAAATGTGACCATAGAATATAAGTAAGTTGCCATATATGGAACCTTTAAAATTACTAATCTCTTTTTATATGAAAGTGAGACAAGAAACAGCATATAGACATACAGAATATGTATTTGACTTTTATGCAAAAGGTACAAATTATAAATTGCCAAGAGTCGAAAGAGCTAGCAAATGATAAGTTAAGATTTGTAACACATTTCTCTACACTGGATTCCATTTTCATCACGTATTTTTGGATCAGGACAAAACTCATAGTGGAATAAATGCATTGTGTGTTCCAATGTCCACGAGTTTTCATAATTGCTGTGAATCACCTAATGAGGCAAAATGTTTCTCCTATTTTCTCAAGAATCACTCAAATTTGCAGCGGCAAGGAGGCCTTTACATGCCTGACACACAGGATTTGCTTGCAGAGCTGTGTACTGGCAAAATGTTGTTTCATGCAGTAGATTAATTTTCCAGATGTTCAAAACAGTATTAGGCATTATGTTATATACCAGAGCTACAACACAATAACAAGCCTCCTCTAAAGTGATACTCCAGAAGCAATATAGAGTGTCCATAATAAAGATGCAGTACAACAAATGTCATGAGATTTTTGAGTAGGTGTCACCGTAGCACAAAATAGTTGAACAGTTAAGAAAGAATGATCAATTCCTGAACTACAACTTAAAATGTGAGTATCAATACACAAAGCTGAAAGTAAAGTCTTTCATTACTTGCAGGATTCAAAGTATAATTAAATTAAAGATGAAGTTATGGAGACTAGAAATAGTATGTTTTGTTATAAGCACAATGGACTGATTTTATATCACTTTATATAAGTTTATAAACTTTCTTCATATTGTTAGATAATTTGTTTAATCAGAGTACTCAAAGTACTGCAAGGTAATCTATCAAATTATCATTTGGAACATTTAGAGTGCATTGCAATTTCCTTCTTTCAAAAGATCTTTTCCGTTTTAAGTTCTAAAAAGTTACTGGGGACTAGTGAAACACTTCTATGGATAAAGAACTTGTTATGGCAAGAATGAGAACCAGAGGACCGATTAACCCTAGTAAGGTAGTATGACATGACATCCTATTTGTAATTCCAATATTCAAGTGGAAGACACTGGGTATCCAGTGCACAATCTGGCTAGTTGAACTTAAACTCAACGCTTCACAGGCATGTTCACACACATGCCCAAGCATCCCATCCATAAACAGGCAAGAGTCTATACACATGTGAACAGACATACACAGATCCATTTGCACACAACACAGTAAAATACACAGAAATAAACTAAAAATAAAAAGTAAAATCCCATTATATAATGGTTATAAAAGATCAATGAAATTGGGGTTCTGTTTTCTGTTTCTTCTCTATATAAAGCTAGGTGTTCTTCTTCTTCATATATAAATCATAGTTGATATTTTCTTCATATACTTTTTAATTAAAACTTTATACTTTTACTATATATATAATGCATAAGTACACTTATTTTTTAAATCTGCATACTTTTAAAGAAAAAATAAACTTCAGGTTAAATTATTTTCTATGAAATTCATCTGAAACCTAATCTAGGTGGTGAAAATGATGTATTAGTATATGAATGTGATTTTTATTAATACTCATTTGAGTGTAATAAACACTTGTACATTTATCTATGAGATTCTCCTATATCTCACTATACCTATTGCAACTATTAATCACTGGCCTAAGTCTACACAGGGTATTTGAACTGAGGTCACTAATTTACCTAATTCTCAACTGTAGTTTAAACAATGCACTTTCTACCCTTAAAAAAGAAAGGCAAATTACTCTCTCCTAACTATTCATAACAATTGGAGACAAAACTGAGAAAAATATTAAGGAATCTTTATCCATTTCAGAATATGCATGATCTTTATTTGATGGAATAAATTGATTAAAATGTTAGCTTAAATAAAATGCCTTTCTTCTATTCTGGATACAGTCTCTTTAAAGCTAGAAGCTGTATTTCACTCGACTTATCCGTAATTGATGTGCTGTAAGAGACCATTCTTAGATACCTACTCTGTCAGTTGAGGGCCATTTATTTGTTAAGTAATTACACTCCTCACTCTGATGTAATTTGTTTTCTCTGGGCTCGATGACACCTACACTAAATGAGATTGTGCTTTCTCATTCTGAAGGAGATAGTTGAATAATTGAGATTACCTTTCTATGTCATTATAGGTAAATTAGACAAATTAATGATCAAAATTTATTTAGGGTACACAACAAAATTAACACAAATAGGAAAATAGAATACTAGAATTCAGAACTTAAGATGCTGGTAAGCACCCTTAGAAGGAAACAACATAGAATTATTATGTTAGCTCTTTATGTTACACAGAATAAAATTTAGGCAAGGTAGAATTTACAAGCTTCCTAATTTTTAATTGCAAAATAAATCAAATGTTTCTTGATAATGAATGTAAGATATTAAATGCTGTAGGGATTATATTTGGTTAATTTCTTGTAACTAAATTATATCTTAAAATATATTTAAATGTAAAATATCTTGTAATTACTTGTGCACTTTTTGTTTTAGTACCGTGATCTTCATGCTAATCATTATTTTGATTTATTGAAGAAGTGCTTCAATCCTGTGTTCCCAATATAAAAATTTAGGAATTTCAGAATTTTGTGCTCCATGTTATTATGAAATCCTAAATAATCTTAGCTTCTGTTTCTAAAATATTGCTGAATAAAGCTGGAACACTATTACCATAGAGACTCATAACAAGTAGTAGCTAAAACAAGCATGACCAGATAAACCCCTTTTAGTTTATTGGATACTTAACTGTTCATTGATGAGTTTAGCAAGCCATCTTGATTTGAAAGAATCATATATGATCATTTTGGACAGAAAGTACCAGGAATATTTAAGAAAATGAAAATCTTTAATTAATTTGAGTAGACAAAGTGGCTCAGTTTACTCTCTTTGTCTTGGCGCACACATTGCACTGTGTAGTGAGAAATGTGCAGTTGACAGAGCAGCATTACCTCTGTCTCATCATTCTTTGACGTGTTCTCAGTTCTCCTTCAAACTTTCTTTAGGCCTGCAATCTAATCAACACAATAGGTCCACCGTTAGTTCTAATTAACCAATGATGAGGGAGAGGAAACTCAGAAAACACCCAAAACTTTGTCAACATTTAAGGCTAAAACAAGTAAGGATGTTTTAAATATTGGAACATTAATAGTTTTGATAAGTGTTTTGTTTATAGTAGAATTTAACATTAGATGCCTTTGAGTTTGATTAGTAGTAGTATTTTGCTAACAATATATAGTAAGAAAGTAACATTTCCATAAACCCAGCTTTTCTGATAGAGTCATCTTGGTAGAGAGCTTCTCACTCCCAAATAATAAAAACAGCAGACATAAAGCTCTTGCTGCCTGTTTACATATTGCGTGCTTATAAGTAGAGTAAAACATTGGATGCACTAACAAAATTCATCATAGTACTTAAAAATAGCCACGACCTTTTAAAAAATTGTAAGCATGATTATTTCACCACATACCAATACTATACTGATTTTCCCATATTCATGGTTCCTTCATATTAATAAGATTTTGTTTTTAATGCTAACTATATTCAATATATTTTCTTTTTCTCATGTTACTCACAATTCTGAGTCATAACTCTCTGAGATATAAGAATAAGTAGCTGGTATGGTAACTCACATCTGTAATCACACTGAATCAGGAGGATGCACAAAGTGATTTCTAGACCAGCTTAGGCTACAGAGAAATCCCTGTTAAAAAAAAAACAGAATGGCTATTTAGTCATAAATTATAATATTTGCTTGCTTATTTCATATATTATCATGACTATCATATCAGATGATAGAAGGAACTGTACATTGATAAGGTTTTATTATATTTTCATTTTGTGGCATAATAACTATAAGAAATTTCAAACATCTAGGTAATTATTTAATGTAGTCTCAAAATTAAAGCTATGCAATTGGATGGATAGCCCTTAGGGTGGGTAACAGATGTTTCTCTGGAAAAAAATAAATCATGCCAAAAAGTGAAACATACAGAAAATCAGGACGTATTCCC